GGTATTCCAGCATGCTATGTTCCCAAGCCAGACAGACTTTGGGATATTATATGTCGTGCACCCCCCCCTAACATCAGGGAATGTACTTCACTATGGAGAAGAAAACTGAGGACAACCAAACAACACCTAGAATATAGACAAGGGAAACCCATCATCGCTCCGCCAGAGAGAACCGCTTACACTCCTCACACCTCTGCAGGCACGTCCTGTGCATCGCACAGGTTTCCATGGTGCGAGGATGGAACCCAGGACCTCATCCAGTGAAGCAAGTACTCCACCACTAACCTACACTTCCAGCCCTCCAGTGAAGCAAGTACTCCACCACTAACCTACACTTCCAGCCCTCCTTTAGCTTCTTTTTTATTATTCATTTATTGATTGTTTTTTGAGAGAATGTTTCTCTGTAGGTTTGGAGACTGTCCTTCTTTGAAGACCAGGCTGGCCTCGAACTCACAGAGATCCGCCTGCCTCTGCCTCCTGAGTGCTAGGATTAAAGGCATGCGCCACCACCACTTGGCAATTTTTTTAAAATTACAAAGTTTTATTTTATTTTTCATTTAATGTGTATGGGTGTTTTGCCTATGTGTATGTCTGTGCACCATGTGTGTGCAATGCCTGGAGGGACCAGAAGGGGGCATCAGATCTCCTGGAACTAGAGTTACAAACAATTGTGAGGCATCATGTGTGTGCTGGGAATTGAACTCAGGTTCTCTGCTAGAGCAGACAGTGTTCTTGACCACTGAGTCATCTCTCCAGTTCCCAACTTTCACTGTTTTTTTTTTTAAATTCAAGTCAAGGTGTCATTAAGTTGCCCAAGCTGGCCTTGAACTCACTTAAAAAAAGACATACCTTTATTAGTATTAATTGTGTATAGATGTTTGTTTGCGTGCATGTAAGTTCTAGTCTTTATGCTAAAAAACAACTGCAGATTAATGTGACTTTTATGTTAAATGCACAATATCTAAAACACACCCTACTGGACAGTGGTGGCATACACCTTTGATCCCAGTACTAGGGAAGCAGAGGTAGACAGAGCTCTGTGAGTTTGAGCCCAGCCTGGTCTACAGAGTGAGTTCTAGGACTGGTAGGGTGAGGGTTACATAGAGAAATCCTGTCTCAATACCTCTTCACAGCCCTCCCCCCAAAACCCCACATCCCTCCATCACGTGCTCAGTTTAACACACTAGCAACTCATTTCACATTCCCCCATAAGTACTAGCTATGCATTTTAGACTCATAGACCAACTTAGCTTTTCCTAGTTTCACTGATTGATGGACTGATTGATTTTAAGGTGCCAGCAGTCAACCCAAAGGCCTTTCTTTTGCATGCTAGGCAGTATACCAGCACCTTCAGACCTATTTGTGGTTTTGTTTCTTTGAAATAGGGAGTCTCACTATACATCCCAGGCTGGTCTCAAATGCCTGCCTCAGCCTCCTGAATGGATGGAATGAGAGGTGCCCACCACCACCCCTGGGCTCAGTTTAGTAGCGTTCTTCTCAAACAATGCGATTGTATTTCACAGAAAATGTTTTATATTGTTTTGGTTTTTAAATTTCAACCAAATTCATTTGCATGAAACAAAACAAAACATCAGTCTATTCCTGGGTTGAGTGAACCGCACCAGTGTCCCCTTCGTCAACTGGACTCCTGGAGTCAGGCAAAAGCAAGTTCCTATTGCTCAGAGCCACACCCCTGCCCCGCCCCTGTCTTGCACACAACATCTTTAAGGCAGTTGACTGGACAGACGGACAGTACAGCTGGTGAGAGCTTGCTCAAATCCTTGCAGTCATGTAATAAAACTTGTTAAGATGTTTGCCCACATGGTGGCTCCTCTTGAAGTTGCTAGGCTCTCTGCCAGCTCTGCCTGTCCCTGCACCGCTCCAGGATGACTTAGCAAGATTGGGAGACCTAGTTAGTGTCTCCAAATGATGGTGGTCGCTCAGTCTGGCTTTGTGTCTTCAGCCATCACTGTTGGAGTTTGTGGTGGTTTGAATGGAATTGGTCCCTATAAGCTCATAGGGAGTGGCACTGTTAGGAGGTATGGCTTTGTTAGAGTAGGTGTGGCCTTGCTGGAGGCAGTGTGTCACTGTGGAGGTTTCATACATGTCTCAGCTCACTTCCTGTTGGCTGTGCAGGGACTCTCAGCTCCCTCTCCAGCACCATGACTGCCTGCACGGCGCCGTGTCCTATCACAACATCACAATGATAATGGACTGAACCTCTGAACTGCAAGCCACCCAATTAAATGTCTTTTATTTCTAAGAGTTGCCATGGACATGGTGTCTCTTCACAGCAATAGAAACCCTAAGACAGGGTTTGAATTGTGACTCCCCCAGGTCATGTATGAAGTCCTAAGCCCTATTCATTTTGAATTATTTTGTGTGTATGTGTATTGGCAGGTGTGCATACATGACATGGAGCATGTGGAGGTCAGAGGGCAACCCAAGGGAGTCAGTTCTTTCTTCCCACTGTGTGGGTCCTGGGAATTATCAGACTTGGTGGCAAGCACCTTTATTTGCTGGGCCATCTTGCTGGGCCTAATTTTTTAAAAAACATCTCTAATAGAGCTTGGTTTAATTATTGAAAAGATGCAAACCCTGAATATAAAGAAACAGAAGTACATCTTGTTGCTTGGTCCTGTTGGGGGTCCCCCACCCTGAGAAACTCAGTCTTACTCTTCCTTATCACTTTCTCTGCTTGGCAAACTCAGATTTCCTGCCCCCCCCCCATTTCTTTCCTTCCTACCCCTTCCCTCCTCCCCTCCCTTCCTTTCTCTCTTTCCTTTTAGATTTATTTATATTTATGAGTGTTTGCCTGCATGTATGTATGTGCACCAGCAGAGGGCGTCAGATCCCCTGGAAATGGAGTTACTGATGGTTGTGAGCTACCATGTGGGTGCTGCACATCAAACCCAGGTCTTCTGGAAGAGCAACCCCCCCCCCCCGTTAACCTCTAAGCCACTGCTCCAGCCCCCTGTGTTACCTTTCTTTGGTTAGTGTTGTTCATTTGTACAGAACTAGCCATAAGCAAAACAAGGCATGTCCTGGCATTTCCAGGAACATTGGCCAGGTCTCTCTTAGAAAGCACTGGGTAGCTCGTGGGCACTTGAGTATGAGTAGCCAATCCAATGACAGAGCAACCTGTAAATGTCCTTTCTCCCTTCTCTATTTCCTGTCTCCATTCTCCTCATCCCCAGAGGGTCAAGGATCCTTCCAGAAAGAGGTTGTGTGTTCAAAAAGAAATATGTGGACACATTTTCCTGGGCAGCGGGAGATGCTGTTTATCAAGGCATCTTTGAAACCACGGCCTGCCTCTACGTAGCACACCTTGTCATTTTATTTGATGGTGGTGTGAACAGGGCTTCTGGGACCTTCTCCACTTACAGCCAGAGAAATGTTCATGCAAGTGGGGTCATGCAGGTGTAACTATTCTAATATTACTGGCGATAAACGATAATGAAGTTTATTTCAGAGTGAGTACATATATATGATGTCACCATTTATTAAAGATGAAAGCAAGCGTGCATACTAATGAGATGGGTGTGTGTTTGTTTTTATGTAAATAACTAAAACTTGACTGAGCATCTGATACTTGACACTGCAGGGCGCAGGGCATCTGACCATTTCTTAGGGCCCATCGATATTTTGACTTTATGATTGCCAATGCTGAGGACGCTGCTTTGCATAAGAACAGAGCACGGGATGGTAGAAACTCGAGAACCATCTCAGAAATCACTGGAAATTCTGTCCTAGTCCTAAGACAGAGTCTGCTTCATGCTTTTAAAAAATAAAACCCAAGTCAACTTTTGAAAAATATTTACCTCTAGCCTTCTAACACAGTGTGGCCCACAGCTAGAGTGGTCTGACACTCGCACTCCGAGGAATGCCGAGAGGCAAACACTACAAGTGTCTGTTTTCTGTAACTGAGCCATGGTGCTTGTCTGAGTGCGGAAAAGCTCATAGGTACAGTTAGACACGGCCATTCCCTGCACGGGGTGGTCTCCATGGAAGCTGAGGTGCTGCAGCAGGGTTCACCGCTGGTGGGTGGTGGGCAGCACACTCAGGACAGTGCATTGTGTGTTCAGAACCAACAGTGAAGTCACCAGAGGTCACATTTGAGTTAGTTTTTAGTTACTGCACATTCAGAAGTCTTCCCTGTCCCCCAAGCTTCCTGAACCCTGCATTAGGTTATGTATGGACCCATAGCTTAAGGAGCCAGGGTATAAAGTCCCTTTTGTGTCATGAGTTTCTGACAGGTAGATTCTCAGGGTGTTGACAGTCTTTTGCTCTTGCAAGCAGAACTGTAAAAAAAAAAATCCTTGGACACAGTTACTTTTCAAAAGATGTCTACCATAGAAAGAGTCTTTCAACATGGAAGTGTTGGGTCAAAAATCTATGTGATTACAATGTCGGTGGATCTCACTGCAAAGAGGAGGTGACGTCCCCATCCCCACCACAGTAAAATACCAAGGCCTACCTGGTTGCCCATCTTCACCAATACAGTGAGAATGTGGGAGGCATATTAGTTCACTTCGTGTTGCTGTAACAAGATACCAGAAGTCAGGTGCTTTACATATAGAAGATAAATGTATGTGGCTTATGACTCTGGTGGCCGGGAGGTTCAGCCAGTTGCTCTGGAACTTGGTGGGGAGGGAGAGGAACTGGCTGCTTGCAGCGGGGACCAAGCACAAAGGTGTCTAGCCCCTTAACCAACCGCTTCCAAGAGAACGACAGCAGCCCCTTCTGAGGGTAGGGCCTCCCTCCATGTCTCGTTCACCCCGCTCTGGGAGTCACCTCCCATCTCCCAGTCTTGTTCCACGGCAGACCAAGGTTCACACAAACCATGTCAGGTGTAAGGCTGGGTCTTATTGTGGTGGAAACAGTCTTCGCAGCCCAGGATTGGCTGGCGTTAGCGCGTGCGTGGATAGCAGGGCTGGCTTCTCGCCCCCGCTCCCCGTGGCAGTCTCTGAGAAGTGTTCATGTCCTCTATGTCTCTGCAGAGCAAGCTGGTGAAGTATTTCAGCCGGCAGCTGTCTTGCAAGAAGAAGGTGGCCCTGCAGGAGCGCAATGCCGAACTGGACGGCTTCCCCCAGCTCCGCCACTGGTTCCGGATCGTGGACGTGCGCAAGGAAGTCCTGGAGGTGACCGCAGGCAGCCCTGAACCCCTTGGCTCTCGCCGACCAGAGACCACCTTTGCTACTTCCTAGATGGCAGGCGTGGGCTGTGCCCAGCACAGACCCTGGCGCATAGTAGGCCCTCAATATGTGCTAGACGAAGGCTTGCAGGATCTCACATGTATCTGAGTGGGGCTGTTAAGGGCAAGGTTCTTCAGTTGGGAGTGTGGCGGTGGCCTACAGTTAGGATTTCACTTGTCACTAAATAGAGTCCCTTGTCACTCTAAGCCACCACGCTGACCAGTGCTGCCCACTGGCTTTTTGCTGTGTGGGCATATTTTGTGTTTGTTCTGTCTGAGAGAGCAGCCATGGGCATACATGGCTCCTGGAGCAGTAGGATTGCGGTTAGTGAGGGTGACCAAGGATCTGGATTTTAAATTGTGTTTAATGTGAATGACTGTGGCCAGTGCCGCCATATTGGATCATAGAGACTCAGGCCAGCCGACTTTCCTTGTGGATAGCGGAGGCTGGAGGGTGGCTCAGCGGGTGAAATGGTTGGCCGTGCACACACGTGTCCTGAGTTCAGTCCTCAGAACCCACGTACAAAATGCACTGGGGATGCCACTGCTGGGGAGGCAGAGACAGGTGGACCCTTGGGGCGCGTGCGTGCATGCGTGTACACACACACACACACACACACACACACACCTGTTGTATACTCCTTCCTTTCCTTTTCCTCCTCCTCGTCTTCCTCCTCCTCTTTCCTCTTCAAGTCATGTGTAACCCAGGCTGGCGTTAAACTCACTCTCTAGCAAAGGTGGCCTTGAACTTCCGCCCCTCCCACCTCTGTCTCCCAAGTGCTGGTATTACAGGCGTGAGCCCCAACTCCCTTTTCTTAAGTGTCTGGTGCGTGAAAGAAGGTCACCCACATAAAACATCCAGTTCAGAGTGGGGCTCTTGATAACGCCCCGTGAACGGCTCAGGGCTTTGCAGGCATGAGCGTGACGTCTGGGCCTTGGGGCTCTTTTTAGGGACTTCTGAGGTCTCACTGTGATCTCCACGGTACAGGGAGAGAAACTGAGCTCAGAAAAGGGACTTGTCAGCAGTGAGTGGGGGGCTAGTGCACAGGCTAGGTGGACTCCAGGGCACCCTGTGGGAGTCTCTGAAGTCTGTTTATTTTCCCAAGGTGCAGAACTTGAGGTGCCCCTGCCTGTGGGAGCACAGGATTCCTTACTTCATGTACCACAAAGTGTCATTCTACTTAGGGTTGGTGGGTAAAAGAGCGACCTCCCTCAGTCTTGCTAGCTCTCCGCCTTGAGCTTTACCCCACCCCTGAGAATACCATCTACCATCCCCTCCATACAGTCCACACACACACACACACACACACACACACACTCACACACACACCTACCATCCCCTCCATACAGTCCACACACACACACACACACCACACACACACTCACACACACACACACCTACCATCCCCTCCATACAGTCCACACACACACACACACACACACACACACCCCACACACCCTCACACACACACACCTACCATCCCCTCCATACAGTCCACACACTCACACACACACACACCACACACACCACACATACACCACACACATATGCACACACACCACACACACTATACATACTACACATACATACCACACATACACCACACACATGCATCATACACACCATACGCACACCACACACACACATATCATACACACACACCACACACACACCACACACACACCACACACACATCATACACACTACACACACACCACTCACACAAACACACATACACACATATACACACCACACATACACACACAAACACACACACATACACACAAACACATACACACATATCATACACACCACACATACACACACACAAACACACACACATACACACACACACCACACACACCACACACACACATCATACACACCATACACATTATACACTCCACACACACATCATACACACCACACCCCCACACACACCATACACACCACACACACACCATACACACCACACACACTACACATACATACCACACACACACCACACACACATCATACACTCTACACACACACAAACACACATACACACACATATCATACACACCACACATACACACACCACATACACCACACACACATACACACACACAAACACACATACACACACACATACACACCACACACACCACACACACACTACACACACACCACACACACACTACACACACCACACACACATACACACACACCACACACACATACACACACATACACACATACACACACCACACACACACCACACACACACCACACACCACACACACACCACACACACACACACATACACACATACACACATACCACACACACATACACACATACACACACCACACACCACACACACACCACACACCACACACACACCACACACACCACACACACACACATACACACATACACACATACCACACACACACACACACACACACACACACACACACCTTTTAATCACAGGGTTAAATGCAGCTGGGACCTCCAGCGAGGAGAGGCTTTAATCACAGGGTTAAATGCAGCTGGGACCTCCAGCGAGGAGAGGCTTTAGCTTGTGCATCTGTCCTAGTTATCCCCAACTGTCAACTCCACGCAACCTAAAAACGCCCGAAAAAGAATCCTAATAGAACAATCATCTTTATCAGGATGGCCTGTGGCTGAATCTGTGAGCGAGGTCTTGCCTGCTAATCGATGCAGGAGGGCCAGCCTGCATGGGCGGTGCCATCCCTGGGCAGATGGCCGGGCTGTGTTGAGGAAGGGGCAAGCTGGAGAAGAGGCGGCACGCGCTGTTCCTCCATGTCGGCCCCAGGTTCCTGCTTCGCTTTCCTGTCCTGATTTTTACTGTGACCTGGGAATGTAAGCTGGGTAAACCCTTCCTCCTGAGTTGCTGTTGGTCAGAGTGTTTTCTCAGAGCATCCGGGATCACACTAGAACAGCATTGTTCTCTGAATGGTCAGCCTGCACGCCCAACCCTGGCATGTCCAGCTGAAGGTTTACCTGCCCTGTGTTCCTGTTTGCCTGTAGGTGACTCAGTTTCTTGTCTCCTGTCCCTGCCCTGACCTCACAGTCACTGTCTTTGGCTTTTTCCCTGTTGGTATTATTTTTTTTATTGTTGTTGAAAAATGGAATTTGTGACTCTGTATGTTATTGTAATGCATAGTCATGGCCACAAGAGGGCAGAAAGAGCCCACAATATTGCCCATAAATCACCATCCACAGATTTACAAGTCTTATCTAAATAATATACTATGCTGGTGTAAAACCCTTCATTACTGTTAGAAACTACGAATGTAGACTCTTATGTACCTAAAGCTCAAGGAACTTGTTGGAAATGTTGCAGACTTATTTCGAACATTGTTTAGGGAGGGGACTGTTTGCAGGGCAGGGAAAGGGCCACGTGTTCAACACATTGCAAACTGGGGATCCCACGTCGTCTTCCTCCAGCTCCTTTGTTCAGATAGACCCTTTACCCTGCTCTATACTGTTCCTCAGCCTTACAGCATAGCCTCGTGGTGCTCAGGAACGCTCAAGATTCGTTTCCAGCCTCAAGCTGCCCATGGGACTTGGGCTGCCTTCCTTTGGGCTCTTAAAGGAATATGACTCCTAGACTCTATGGGTGCATCAGAAAGGAAGATGTTGGGAGGTTTTGTGTCTAATAGGCTTGTTCTGAGCCCACCCTGGTCAAATTCAGCAGAGCCATCCTCTCACAGAAGTACGAAACAGAGACTGTCTCTGTGGGGTTCGGAAGCTGAACTGCGTGTGTGGACTGTTGATCATGTACTGAGTGTGCACCTACACTCAGCACATCCATTTTATAATAGACAAGAGCAAGGCCTAGAGAGGTTAAGTAACTTATCTGTCTAAGTGGCAAACGGGAGACTCAACCCCCAATTCAACCAACCGTTTGTATAGTGCACGGTCTCTCACTGGGTACCAGCAGAGGGCAGCGTGGAGGCATCATACTGTTTCCCTCTGCAGTTCTCCTGAGTGCCACAAGAGGGCGGTGTGGAAATGCCACACTATTCTGTTTGGCCCAGCACAGGTTCCAGGTCCAGCTGACTGCTTTTGTCCCCTCCTCTAGGAGATCTCCCCTGACCAGCTGAGCCTGGAGGACCTCCTAGAGATGACAGATGAGCAGGTGTGCGAGACGGTGGAGAAGTACGGAGCCAACCGGGAGGAGTGTGCCCGGCTCAACGCCTCCCTGTCTTGTCTCAGGAATGTACACACATCAGGTGAGCAGCCCAGGGCGTCAAGATTGCCCCCAACTCGCCAGCCACTGTCCTTCAAGCTTCCCGCGCAGGTCAGCACATAAGAGAGTGGACCCTGGAAAGCCAGCTCCAGAGTAGAGGTGGCTGTGAGGTTTGGAAGTAGGTGGGGTTTGATGCCACACTGCAGAGGTTGGCTCGCTATGGGTCCTGGATTATTAGGGTCCTGATGCGGGAACCTTGGGAGGCCAGAGTCTTTCCCACTCAACCACTGGGAAGTGGCCTTGCATTCTGAATAGCAGTTCTGCTTACTTCTGTGCAAAAACACTATGCATTCTATGTAACATTGTTGGCTTTACGGACGCTGTAACGATACGCGACACACACTTACAGAAAGTGAAACTAAGTATTTTATGTAGAAAATTACTCACAAGATGCCAAACCCCGAGAAGCCCAGCAGATCTCAGCTAGCGACTGGACCGGAAGCCGAACTCCAGGAAAAAAAGAGAGCGAGACTTCCTGTGCGCTGTCTTTTATGCCTTCCCCCGTAACGCCCCCTAGCCATGCCCAAAAGTGGGCTTGGCTAGTGACGTAGTTCCGCCTACGTATGTATACGTCTTTACGTCCAGCCGTATACGTCTTTAGTCCTGCCTAAAGTGGGTGTGGTTAGCGGTGTGGTAAACCGCCCTTTTATTACCTCATCTGTATGCGCCTCTAGTAAGTCACATGTTTAATGGCGGCATAGACTTAGTAAGTCACATGTTTAATGGCGGCATCAGACTTCCTCCTACAATTCCCCTTTTAGTCTAAAAAAGGACAACTAACTTGTGTCCATGAACAAAATGTATCAAACATCTATTCTATCTAAACCTAAACTTATCTTAAAGAAACACCCAAATATGAACACCTCTTTCCAATCCCAACTCTAAAATAATTGAAAACTAACACTAACAGGTGTAATCTTATAATATCAATAGTAGGGAGAGGGGGCGTGGAATTCTCAAAACTACTTCCTGCTGAGATGGGACGATGATAATCTCATGGGGACCTGTGAAAAGAAAATGTTAGTATAACAAAATCTGAGTAGATCAGACAGTCTCAGTATGGCAGGAGATGCTTGATTGAAGTTCCTGACTGGGGTTCTAGTGTTGATTGAAGCTCTGGTCAGATTGTAGAAGATGTGCTGTTTCAGTTTCTTGGTCCGGAGATGTGTAGAGTGATGTAGTTTCAAGCCAGTTTCAGGATAGTGCTTGTCAGGTGGAGTCAATGATGTGGGGCAGTTCAGATGCCTCCAGTCGAATCAGGTGAAGTCAAGGAAGTGGATCCTCATTCTCTTTCGGAAGCAGTTGAAGATTGCTGTCAGGAAATCCCTTGTTCTCTGGAAAACTCAAACATTAATGTTAACGAAGAAATATTTTAACTTTCATATGTATGCATACAAAAGAGGTGACAATAGGGAAGATGGAAAACCTGGAGGAAATTAGACTGTTCAGAAAAAGAAATCCACAGATAACAGTCCCTCATTTTATTTCTTCTGTCTTATATCAATGGCTCTTTGATATAATACAGAAATTCTGAATTGTATTTAAATAATATGCTTGGGTTTAGAGTAGGAGAGCCAATCCAACTCCAAAGCCAGCTTCAGTTAAATGAATGGGAATTGAGGTATGTGAAGAAATAAAGATAAAAGGGTACTATGAAAAAACAATATAGAGAGATTTAGACTTTGATACCACACAGTGTGTGTTTGATGGTCCTCAGGGTAGCTATTCATTCTTCTACAGGAATCCATATATCCAGTATTCTTTGCTGAGTTTACCTGTGAATACAAAAAACAAAACACTTCTCTTTCCTTTTAGGAGGTCCCTTTTCCCATGGTGGACTATGAATTTGTAGATGGGCTGTTATCTTCCTCCTCCTGAGATGTTTTCTGTTCTGATCGAATTTTAATTAATTTTGATGGAACCCAAATCTTTTCTTCTCCTGTGGAAACAAAAGCATAACCCCTTCCCCAACGTAACACATATCCTGGTTTCCAGACTGAGGTCATAACATCCTTAAAATACACCGGTTGGTTCAGTTCAGAAGTCTTCTCTGTAGTCCAGTGTCTTTCTGCTGCAGTTTGTCCTTTTTCATCAGCATTAAGAAAATTCAACGTTAGTAAAGCATTGTGTAACCTGTGTCTAGGTGTCTTTGTTTTCCCTGGCTGTTTATGAAGCATCTCTTTTAAGGTTCGGTTAGACCTTTCAATTATTGCTTGTCCTGTGGGATTGTAAGGTATACCAGTTACATGTTTTATATTATAATATTTGAAGAATTGTTCCAATTTGCTGGAGACATATGCTGGAGCATTGTCAGTTTTTATTTGGCAGGTATACCCATAACAGCCATTACCTCTAAGAGGTGTGTAATAACAGAGTCAGCTTTTTCAGAGCTGAGGGCAGTAGCCCATTGGAAGCCTGAGAACGTGTCTATAGTATGGTGTACATATTTCAAACTGCCAAATTCTGGGAAGTGAAATACATCCATTTGCAAAAGTTCATTTCTGTGAACACCTTTAGGATTACAACCTGCTGGTAATGGAGTTTGATTGTACAATGAGCAACTGGGACAATTTCTTACTATTTCTTTGGCTTGTTGCCAGGTGATAGAAAAATCCTTCTTTAAACCTTTGCTGTTAACATGGTGTTTCTTATGAAATTCTGAAGCTTCCAACACATTACCTACTAATAAACGATCAATTTCATCATTGCCTTGTGCCAGAGGACCTGGCAGACCTGTATGGGATCTGATGTGTGTTATATATATAGGATGAGTCCTGTTTCTGATGATTTCCTGCAATTGTAAAAACAATGAGGTTAATTCTGTATTATCAGGAACAAATTCTGTAGTCTCAATGTGCAGGACAACTCTTTCTGCATACTGAGAATCCGTGACTATATTGAGAGGCTCTGTAAAGTCTTTAAGTACCATCAGAATGGCATATAACTCTGCCTTTTGTACGGAGTTGTAAGGGCTTTGAACTACTTTACTTATTTTTCCTGATTTATACCCTGCCTTACCTGATTTGTTTGCATCCGTGTAGAAGGTAAGAACTCCAGAAATAGGTGTTTGCCTCACGATACGTGGAAGAATCCAAATTGTTTTCTTTATGAATTTGATTCTCTCTGTTTTGGGATAGTTATTACTAATACTTCCCAAAAAGTCACTGCAAGCTATTTGCCAATACTCATTATCCTTCCATAAGGAGGAAATTTCCTCATTCGTTAACGGTACAATAATTTCAGCTGGGTCTTTCCCAGTCAGTTGACGAAGCCTTAATTTACCTTTTAATATCAAATCAGATATCTTTTCTATATATGTTTTCAATTTTTTATTTTGTTTATGTGGCAGAAATACCCATTCTAGAATGATGTCGTCCCTCTGCATTAATATTCCTGAGGGTATTCTCTAGATGGTAAAATAACCAGAATACAGTCCAGATTTGGATCCACACGGTCCACATGTGCTTCTAATATTCTCTTTTCTACCCATTCTAATTCTTTTTCAGCCTCAGCTGATAGTACTCGTGGGCTGTTTAGGTCTTTATCTCCTTTTAAAGCCATTTTCAGGTGTTTTAAATCATGCCCTTCTACACCAATAATCGTCTGTAATTGAGAGATTTCTCCTAATAGTTTTTGAAGATCATTAAGAGTCCGGTAACGATCTCTTCTGATCTGTACTTTCTGTGGTCTAATTTTCTGAGCATCTATTTTATAACCTAAATAGTTAATAGAATCTCCTCTTTGTATTTTTTCTGGGGCAATTTGTAATCCCCAGCGAGGCAAAATTTCCTTTACTGCCTCAAACATCTTTTCCAAAGTATCCTTATTTGAATCAGACAATAATATGTCATCCATATAATGATATATTAACGAATGTGGAAATTTTTTACGAATTATTTCTAGAGGTTTATTCACAAAATATTGACACAAAGTTGGACTGTTTAACATACCTTGAGGTAGTACCTTCCACTGGAATCTCTGTACCGGACGGGAATTATTATAGGTAGGTACTGTGAAGGCAAACTTTTCTCTGTCGTTTTCTTGTAACGGTATGGTGAAGAAACAATCTTTTAAGTCTATAACTATAATTGGCCAATCCTTAGGAATTAGAGAAGGTAACGGCATCCCAGGTTGTAGAGACCCCATAGGCTGAATTACCTTGTTGATGGCTCTAAGATCAGTAACCATTCTCCACTTACCAGACTTCTTCTTGACAACAAAAACAGGCGAATTCCATGCACTAGTTGATTCCTCAATATGTCCAGCATCTAGCTGTTCCTGAACTAACTTCTCCAAAGCCTCTAACTTCTCAGATGTCATAGGCCATTGACCCACCCAGACGGGTTCATCTGTCAGCCATTTTAATGGTAGAGCTTTTGGTTGCTCTGTAGGTTTGGCACTAGCATCTTGCTTCTGCACAGCCTGTACATTTGGCATCTGTTTTCTGTACTGTCTTACTATATTCTTACTACCACTAAGAGCTTGTCTATAATTCCTAGCTGATACAGGAGGAATTTTAATCTGCGTATTCCATTGCTGGAGTAGATCACGACCCCAGAGGTTTATAGCAATATCTGCAACATATGGCTTTAACCTTCCTCTCTGTCCTTCTGGCCCAATAAAGTCAATCCATCTAACGCTCTGTTTAACTTCAGATAGGGTTCCGATCCCTAAGAATTGAACATTAACCTCTTTTAAAGCCCAGTTTTGTGGCCAGGACTGCTGATTAAGGATAGTGACGTCACTTCCGGTGTCCAGTAATCCGTAAATCACCCTATTATTTACCTTAACTGGAAGTTTGGGTCTATGATATTGTATAGAAGTTTGCCAAAATATATGTTTTGTATCTCCTCCTGATGTAATTGATTCATCCTCTGGAGCTAATGTATTATCCAGTGCCGTATTATTTACAATGGGCAGTGGATCTTCTAATTGTCCTGGGAGAGGCTGTCCTCCACTGTCACTGGGAATGACCGGATAATC